CAGGCAGTGTTCCATCGTGGCCCGAGCTGGTGGCGTTGCCCTGCCACAATACGTACAGATGGGGACAGCAGGCCTTTCTCCTCCAGGTCTGTCCTCGAAACTAGCCAGTCAGGGGTAGGGAGGCATCGGTGCAGGATCTGCCATTGCAAAGCTCTCAAGTTTGTGGGCATAATTTTGGAGACTTTTGACCAGGGCAGGTTTTCCACCATACGCGAGTCCATGGGCGAGTCACGTGCCCATCTTTGGGTTAGGATTTGATCAATTGGCAGGGTGTGGCACGCCGCTTTGTAACCTCTTCTGACTGTGTAATCCCAGGTATGAAGAGGCTTGGGACTCGGCCACTCCCACTCCCCCGGGTCAAACGGGAGTCTGGCAACCGGGGTGGCAGGTTCGTAAACACATAAGTCTTCCTGGGAGTCACCCACCACTCTTACTTGCACGAGTCCTCCCCAGTTTTCCTCTCTATCCAGGTTGTCATTACGTGCTAGTTTCGCAAACCTGGCACATGTCGGATGGGGTTCATATGCCTCCAACTGGCACTGGCCGTCATAGTTAGTTATCACTTTGTATATGACGGTCGGGGTGGGAAGGCCGGCGTATCTCACTACCCAATCCCCTTGTTTAACCATGGGACCGTTCTTGAGGGCGGACCTCCAGGCCAGAGGCAAGGCCTCCCTGAGTTTGAGCGCCTTCTCCCCCACATTCTTAACATATTTAAGGCGCCTTTGGAGTTGTTCCGTTGTTGCCCAATCTGCTGCTACCAGGTCCCACAGGTCCTCCACCGTAAATATCCCTCTTCTTGCCCATATTAGCCAGGGGGAGTTTGTGGTAAGGGTGAAGGGGCCACCTTCCTCATCCAGGATGTAGGGGTTGCCAAACAATGGCTGCCTCCAGATTTCTTGCCAGGTGTTGGGGGGGCGTTTCTGTTGCGGACCACATGTCCTCCAGAGTTTGAGCATATTGGCCCAGAGAGGATCATTAACCAGATCCACTCTGGCTACTTGTCGCAGGTCATTGGCTTGTCTGTTTTGTGAGGGAGAGGGGATCGTCCAGTATCTGTTGGTGAGCCATCGGTAGGGGTGTATGTCGCAGCCCGCAGCCGGTTCGGGGGCCAGTGCAGCTATCTGCAAGGCAGCGAGGGGCGCCCACGGGATATCATTTCCCATGAGAAGTCTAATTAGGACCTTGAAAACTAATGCCTCACACTCCCTCTCTGGGTCCAGTATCCCCAATCCCCCTTTGGTTCTTGGCTGTGTGAGGACATCCCATCTTACCCTGGACAGACATCTTTCAAATTTGGCGTTGTTCTTCCAAAGATACGTTGTGAGCGCTGTTTTAAGTCTTGCATATTGAGGAGGTTTTAGCGGCCAGACTGCAAGTTTATACCAAATGACCGCCAGAACAGCGTTATTGATTGCCAAGGCCCTTCCTACAAGCGAGGTATGCAGTCCTTCCCATTTCAGTAGCCGATCAATTGCCACATTCACCAATACCTCTCCGTGATCGGGCGGGGGTCCGAGCGCAGTCAGCCTCACCCCTAAGATTCTAATAGGTTCGTCTGCACGTGCCCATGCGACAACCGACTGGGGCGGTGGTGGTTGGCCTTGAGGGTGGAGCCAGCAACCTTCTGTCTTAGAACCCCAATTAACCTTCATATCTGCCGCCAGCGAGAAGGTATGTATGACCTGTGCCAGAGCTCGTATGCTGTCATCGTCCGCCCTGATAAGAACTGTAAGATCGTCACCAAACAGCGACGTCACCGGGATGAGATGGTGAGGAATGTCTGGAATAGGTATTTTGCTGATCTTGGGGTGGGATCTGATCCAGGCGGCTAAGGCCTCCATAACGATGACGAAGAGCAATGGGGCGATCGGGTCGCCCTGTCGCACTGACCTTTGCAAGTGTATTGGCGGTGAGAGGTGGCCATTGAGCATAATGTTAGTGGTGGCTGTTCTATGAAGGAGTTGTATCCAGTGGCAGAAGGTCGGGCCAAGATTCATTTTTAACTGACATCTATCTAGAAATTCCCAGTCAACATGATCATACGTTTTTTCAAAGTCTATAAACATGATGGCTGTTGGGACTTTCCTCTGACGTGCATACTTCATAGTCCCATTCACTAACAGGATATTGTCTTGGATATTGCGGTTGGGCATGAATCCTGTTTGGTCCGGGTGTATGAGCACATTCATATGTGGCAGCAAGCGTTTCGTCAGAGCCTTCGCCACCATTTTGTAGTGCACAGGGAGGAGCATAATAGGCCTGTAATTTCGGATGTCCTCCCTATCTCCTTTTTTATAGAGGAGCGTGGTGACCCCTTGGCCGATCATGCCTCCAAAGGACCCCTCCCTCTGAACAGCCCGTGTGTATTCGAAGAGGTCACCTCTAATCATTTCCCAAAACTGCACCCAGAATTCCTTAGGGAAGGAGTCTATACCTGGGGTCTTTTCATCCTCCATGTCCTGTAGTGCCTCCAGGAGTTCTTGTTGAGTGAGAGGCTTGTCCATTTCCTCTTTCTGTTGCTGTGTGAGGCGATAACACAGAGCGTTGAGGAGATCTTCCCTAGCGTTATTGACTTCAGCCGGGTTCTTCAGGGTCGTTTGGGAGGTAAACAAGTTCCTATAGTACTGGGACGCATAATCTGCAATAGAGTACGCATTGGTGGCAGTTGGGGCCTCGCTGTCCAAGGGGTGTCTAAACCTGGGTACCGTGTTGGCCCTTGCTCTAGCACGTGCCTTTTTGAAAAAGGCTTTTGCCATCGTCCCCTCCGTATGTGCACGTTTAATCTTGGCCTGGATCCTCCATGCCTCGGCTTGATGGTGCAAGTATTCTTGGAGGTGATCTCGGGCATGTTGCAGTTGTTCAAACGTGGGGCCGTGGAGCGGATCAAGCATGAGTTGTTCATCCCAATCTTCCAAGTCTTGCATCAATTTGTCGAGGATGGCTTTGCGGTCTCTGGCACGTTGTATGGAAAATTTCTTGGTTCTTTCTCTAAGTTGTGCAATGCCCTCATTAAACCAGCACACTCTATCCCCGGATTCCGGTTTTTGGGTCTGCCAGTAGGCCCAAAATGTTGTGACGAGGTCTTTGAACTTTGTCAGGGGAAGCAAGGAGGTATTAAACTTGAAATATCCTAGCCCCCTTTGTATGTGGGTATGAAAGGAGAGGCCTAGTGTGATCATCCTGCGATCAAATGATTTGCATGGGCTGATGGTCGTTATTTCTGGTGTTGTGACCAGACCCAGCAAGTCTTTAGACACAAGTGTAAGATCAATACGTGAATTTGCTAGGCCTCGCTCGCCTCTGGATGATAGACACGTGTAGGCGCGCTGGGAGGGATGTAGCAGTCTGTGTGCATCCTCTAATTCCCTGTCTGCCATAAATTGTTTCAGCCCCAGGATATCTGGCCCATGGGACTTGGGATCATACTGCTGTGAGGAGGACCTGCGGTCTATCATGGGATCCAACGTGGTATTAAAGTCTCCTGCGAAGATGATTGGCGCATCCTGTGGTATCTGCTGCTGAAGCGTGAGCCAAAACTCCACCCTGCTAGTGGGATCGTTAGGAGCATAGATACTCACCAGGTAGAATTCCTCCTCTTCAAACTCAACCTTAAGGCATACCCACCTGCCGTTTTGATTGTCGTGTTCAACTGCTTTGGGTTTGAGCGTCGAGGAGGGTGGTATCCAGATTGCAACACCTGCTGAGGCTCGGTCCTTGGCCGGGGCCGCATAGCACGTGTACGGTCAGATTGATTTGGCCTTTGCAATATGCGGCGGAGAGTCCTGCAGATGGGTTTATTGAACACACACAGCATCTGGCCATTTTCCGGTTATCGGGCATTTTAAGAGATTCCATATCGCATCTTTCTTATCTTTTGTTGCTTGAATCAACCCGTTAACATTCAACGACCGGATGTCAAGGTCTGCTTGGGCAAGCTTAGTGGCCAATTGGGGCGCTTTCCTAACCTGAGGGAATACGGGAGGGGAAGGGGGCCGTAGAGGGGGGGGAGGGGGAAGTGGGGGGGGAGGTGGAGGAGGAGGAGGKGGGGGGGGGTGTTCCATGGGGCTGGGCAGATTGGGGCGGTGGGTCAGGAGTCGGCCTATTTGTTCCACTATAAGCTGCTTCATCAACAGTTTTGGTTAAAACCGTTGATATATGAGGTGCTCAAGCTTTGCTATCGATGGGGAGCAGGCTCCGCGGGTCCTCCCACTGATTGTGTTCTTCCAACATGTTATCCTCTAGGAAGGCCTGCATGAAGAGGATCACCCTAGACCTGGTCCATGCATAATTCGTTTGAAAGCGTGTTGTGGTCATTTCCATAAGCTGGCGGTGATTGAACCATTTGAAGTCCATTATCTTTTTAAGGGTTTGGACACACGGGTTCAACAGCAGGAGGACAGGGATAGTGCCAGGCGGGAAGGATGTCTGTTCTAGCAGAACAACGCCCATGACTTCTGTTACATTGTTCTCCCTTATCCAAAACCTGAGTCTTTTGATTATAACTGTGTCGGAGGATTTGCCTCTCCATCCTTACACAGTGACGCTGTTTTGGGGTGAGCTGGCCTTAGAGTGTGAAGATGGTTGTGTGCTGTTCCCTAGGGTTTTAAGGCCAAGCAGCCATTCCCCTCCATTTACATTATCCCTTATGAGCGGGAATAGGGCCACTCTGGGAGGCATGGCCTCTGGGGGACTGTCGTCCTCCTGTAGTCTCACCAGTTCACGCATCTTCCTTTGGAGGGCATCCATGGGCTTGTCCTCCCCCGAGTCGGGGATTGTTGCGTCATCGTCCTCCAGGCCGAAGACCTTCGCATGAGTATTCTGTCCGGAGGATTGCTGCACTGCAGTCAATTTGTGTGTTAGCACGAGTTGTTGAGCTGCCTGTTTTTGCAGCAGCCCCTCTGTCGCTTGGCTGGCCTGTGGGATCCCTCCTGATTGTTGCTCCTGCCCTTGTGCTTGGTCGTGGACCTGGATCTGAATCTGAAGCTTCTGAGGATCAGGCCGAAGGATGGGATGCTGATGACTCGCGATTTGTATTCCTGGCTTTACTCCCACGAGTCGGGGGTCGCCATCATGAAGTGCATGGAGTGTGGTACACAGTTCCTGAACCAGGAGTTTTGGCCAAGCCAGACCCTCATGCAAGAAGGCCTCATCTGTGGGGTCAGCACGGTCGAGGGAATTTCCGCCGTCAGTCTGTCGCTTGCCGAGGTAAGTATTAGCGTAATTGAGCATTTTATCGAGGAAGTCGTTGACGACCAGGACAATGGCCGCCCTCACATCTTGCCAATCAATGGCTGAGATATTGTGATATTCTTGAACCGTGGCAAGAACCCGGGGGCTGTACATCAGCACCCTTTTGGCCTCCCCCTAATAACGGTTGTCAAGCTTCTCCCCCGGTTTGTCATCTGTAAGGGAGAAGATTTTCGTTAGTGTCCAATCCGTGAGGAATGCCAGTTTCTGTTGAACCTCATCATCGGCCGTGAGCGGAGGGGGGGAGGCATCTGTTGGTGGGGGAACCCGTGGCGGGAGGATTTCCACATCCATGTCCACCGGCGGGGGGCAGTGTTGGTCCACCGGCGGGAAGCAGTGTTGGCTTATCTGTTGAGACTCGAGTGGTGGAGCCGAGGTGTCCATGTCTTGCGGTCCTTCGTACCAACCTGGGAGGGCAATAGAGGGGTGATCAGGTTGAAATTGCATATGTTGTTGGATCGCTTTCTGTCTGTCCACCTCTTGTTGCCAGAAGATGTGCAGCTGGTGCTGTTGTTGTTGTAACACCTGTTGTTGGTCGCAACACAGTTGTTGATGTCATTGCTGGTGCAGGTGATCCAAAAGTTGTTGTAGCTGCATCATTCTGTCTCGGTGCTGCTGGTGCTGGTATTGCGCTAGCTGTGCTTGTAGCAGCAGGCGAAGTTGGGCCTCACATTCTGTCCTTTGTAGGATGTGTAGTTGATGTTGCTGTTGCTGGACCTGTATCTGCGTTTGTTGTTGCAGGAGTTGCAGGTGCAACTGTTGTTGCTGCAGGATCTCCTGATGTTGGCTTTGTTGCCATTGTGCATGATGCAGCAGCAGTTCCTCCCGAGGCTGTTGCTGCTGTTGCTGGAGACGCGCTTGCTGCTGTGCGTACAGCGGGAGCTCTTGTGCAACTTGGACCTGGGGGAGGTGCTCCTGGCTGGGCCTACAATGGCTATCGAGAAGGCACGCCGACGAGATCAAGTCATGTTGTTGTTGTAGTTGTTGTTCGGATGGGTATTGCTCTTGCTCGCTTTGCATGAGGTCCAGCTGTTGGTATTGTTCTTGGCTGTTGACCATTGACCCTCCGCCTAGCAGAGCAGAAGCTTGTTGTTCTTCTGTCTGGGGACGGTGGTCAAGGTCCTGTTGTTGATGGAGGGGCTGCTGATGCTGCCCCCTGTATGGAACCAACCGACCTGTCTGTTCGTCTGTGGTGTGCAGCGTGTGAACCGTCTGGCCTGGCGTCGGGTGGCGGATCTCCTGGTGCTGCGGTTGCTGTTGTGGGTGTAGTTGCACCCCTTTCTGCACATCTTCGATTTGCAGCGTGTGAATCGTCAGATATGCCTGTTGTTGCTGTTGTGAGTGTAGTTGCACCCCTTTCTGCTCATCTTGGATTTGCAGCGTGTGAGTCGTCAGATACGCCTGTCCCTGCTCCGAGCGATGGCTGTCGTGGTGCTGGTGTTGCGATTGTTTTTGCAATTGTTGTTGCGAATGTACTTGCACCGGTTTCAGTTGCGGTTGTGCCTGAGTCTGCGGTTGCTGCATGTATTCCTGCAGGTGTTGTTGTTGGGGTTGTTCCTGCTTCTCTGTTGGGTGCTCCCCATCGTCCTCCCACTTGATCAGCCGTTTACTATGTGCACCTGGTCTCGGGGAGGTCATTGGGGAGGGTATGAGCAGGAATTTGCATTCCCCTGTGAGCTCCGACACAACTTGTCCGAGCCGTGTGTTTCCTTCAGCTAACGGTTGGTTCTGTTCCTGCGTCTGTCTTGCTCCCAGGGATTGAGACAGGTGCAGGATTGGGTGTTGCGGCCGGTTATGATCAGGTAAGTCATCCTGTGAGGTCGACCCGTCTAAAGAGGAAGATTGAGATAATTGAGATAATTGCAGCTGCAGGGCCACCGGCTGTCGTTGCTGGTCTGGGTCGGGCTTTGGCTGGTGCTCACCCAGTTGTTCCTTCGGGCCAGCGGGTTGCAAGTCAACTGCCTGCTACGCCTCCGGCAGATGTTGCTGGTCTGGGTCAGGCTTTGCCTGGTGCTTACCCAGTTGTTCCTTCAGGCCAGTGGGTTGCAAGTCAACTGCCTGTCTTCCTGGGGGGCCATCTTTTGGGGGGACCTCTATTTCTGTCACCGTTTCTTTCACCAGCGCCTGCGGGGAGGTGGGGAGTGGCCCGGGGGGTGGGTGGTGTGGAGGGTGTTGGAGGTGGGGAGGAAGCTTTCCCCGTGGCAACTCCCAGTGCTGGGAGAATGCTACATCCTTTATTTTTGTTAGAATAGTGTTGGCTCTTTGCCACATCTGTTGCGGTTTGAGCGCTTTGGAACCTGTTTGTGTCTCAATTGTGAGACCGGTTTGTGCCGGCTGACTTGGCTGGCCCGCCCCAGCAGGACCCAACTTCGCCCTTCCTCCATCCGTCGATGGAGATCTGCCAGCAAGGACCTGCCCCTCCATTTTTCCTTTCATGTTCCCTTCATCCTCCGCCCCCTTTTGTCCTATTAGTACCATATCCGGCGGTGGTGTCTTCTTGTCACGGGTCTGTACATCTAGTCTTGCCTCGGTTGCCCTCTGTGGTCCCACTGAACCAGCTTTGTCTTCGTCCTCCGGTAGCCGTGTGAGGTCTGGTTGTGCTATAGGGGGTCGACTGTGCATATTGGCATTTGTGGACTCAGTCTTCTGTTCCTGTGTGGTTGTCACTGTGGCCTTTGCCCTTGTGTTTGTGGGTGGAAGAGCTGGACGCTTTGTCAGCGGTTGTGGCATTGAAGCGCTGTGTTGGGCAATAGGCAGGATCAGTTGACCCTCCCCCGTTTGCAATTGAGGGTGGGTCTGTTGAAGTTCTGCAGTGCGTGTAGGGGGGTGTGCCCCTTGTTCGCCCTGGTCCATAGATGGACTCGATTGTGCAGGTGCGGAGGGTGCTGGGTGACCGAGTTGTTCTGCCCCACCCTGGCCTGACTCTTGTTGTGCTGGTTGTGGCAGTGGTGGTGGTAGTACCAAATGTCCAGGCGGGAGGGGGGCCGGGAGGTTCCCTGGCTGTTTAGGCTTATATATTTTTTGCACCTGCTGGGTCTGAGTGCGAATGTGTACAGAACGGGTGCTTGCTCCTAATGTATGCGGAGCTTGTGGCAGGGTTTGCTGTCTCTGACTATTGCCCCCGATAACACCTTGCTGGCCATCCGCGGATGTGGTGGGCTTGTGTTTATCCCTGCCTGTTAATCTAGCGGACCGCCCTCGCCCGCCGGTCTGTTTTGGGGGTTCCGGAGTGGAGCCCCGTTTTCCTTTCTGTTTGGGGTCATCATTGACGAACAGTTCCGCCCCAAACGGGAAGGCTGCTGGTTGACCCTTCCCCTGCCAGATCCATATTCCTGGACGACCATCTGCGTATGCCCTGAATGTCCAGCCCTGGAGTTCCTTCTCTTCTGGGAACCACCTTTCTTCATCAGAGGGGTGGGGGGTCACCAGGCCTTTTATTTTTGTCTTACGATTGTGGGGGCAGTCTGCATCTGTGCACAAATGGCCCCTGTGCTTGCACGCATAGCACCAGGGGTCTTGGGTGTGGCTTACAGGTACAGAGAACTCCTTGCTCCCATGGGAATATCTCCATTCCTCATTCAGGGGGAAGGGGTAAGATTCATCCCAGTCCACCGCCACCAGCAAAGAGTCATCTCGTTTTCCAAGGAACTGGGGTAAATCAGTTATGTACCCCTTGACATGGGCAATGTCTTCAAGATCTGTGAGAATCGCACCCTGTGCACAGAGAGGAGCATATCTGAATTCAACCCAGAAGTTAAAATTCATTAGGTGTTCTCTCCGTTCATCACTGGATCATGGATTGGCTGGTGACCAGGTAACCACCTGCACTGGCTTGCCTCGAAATTGTAACACCTTATTTCTTAGGATGAGATGCTTATCAATGGAATACAGAGCCACCACCGGTATGCAATCCGAGCTGTCCACTTCGATGAGGAAGTGGTCATATACTAGTTGGCGTTCGGGTTTGAAATTGGCCAACTTGTCGGTAATCCATTTGATTTTTTCGTTTATCGGGACCGCTGTTTGTGTTTGCTGAAAACGAAAATGGACTGCTTTGTTGGCGTACACTGCATCCTTCGTGGCTTTGGAAAGGGCCGGGAAGATGGAGTGAGGGTAGATGAAACCATCCTTAACCTGAAACTTCTTTTCTGGCTCAACGTAAAGTTGTTGTATAAAGTGGCTTTTCAATGGAGCCATGGTGTTCAGAGAGGATGATTTGTGAGCATCCGTCTGAGCAGGTGCCGAGAGCGCTCTCAATAATTGGGGAGGGGATTTACACTTGGTCCCCAAAGCGGAGGGCCCTTCTCCTTGGGTCTTCGTTTGGTCTCTATGAGGGTCATTTACATTGCGACCCGGATCCTGTGCACCTTTGACTATGTCTTTCCATGTCTCCTTCGTGCCTCCTGTATGTGCCCCTGCGGTT